AGATCGAAAGCTTTAGAAGATATTCGCACGCGCTCTGCACGTGCTGAAGTTGTGCTGAAAGGCCACAATGATGCTAACGAGCTATTTGAACTCTTTGTCGATCTGGACAATGACAAAGTCACCCACAAGCAGCATCTCAAGGGGAAACATTCCTACATTGATGCGGACTACATGAAAGCAGTTGAAGCTTCTTGCCTAGCCAATGACGAAGTGCAGGCCACAATACGCTCCCTTGACCTCCCTGCAGGATCAACTGTTGTGGTGGAACCTTGGGCTTATGCCACAGACGGAATGAATGACATGGCCCAACGAATCACAATGGTTTGTTGCTCATTACCTCCTACAAGTTACCTTGCTTTTCTTTTCAAGCTTACCGCTCGTTCAGTGTTGGTTCTACCTTCGCATTGAAGAGAATCCAAATGCCAATTACTACGCATACCCTCTCGACGTATGTGCAGAGGTTTCAGAGACTTTAGAGGTCACCAAAGTCTATCGTTTGCCGACAAAACCACACGAAATAGTCAATAATGAACAAAAACCTTTCGATTGTCGGAAAATCCTCCCGAAAGCAGTTACAGAATACCACCCAGACTTGAGACCAAGCCCAAGAACGACTACTAAACCTTATCAAGTTGTTCAGCCGGATGGGCCATCTTTCTATATTAGTGGAAATCACGTAGAGTGGGAGAAATGGAGTTTCAGAGTAGGTTTCAATTACCGCGAAGGATTGACGCTCCACGACATTCGTTACGATGGCCGGAGCTTGTTTTACCGACTGTCTCTCGCGGAGATGTTCGTACCTTATGCTGACCCACGAGCTCCTTATCCCCGCAAGGCGGCATTTGACCTCGGAAATGACGGTGCAGGAATCAACGCCAATAATCTAGAGCTTGGCTGTGATTGTATAGGTATGCACAAGCAGAATTGGTCCGACAACTTTTATTAAGTTGGACTCTCTGCTAACTCATCACCTTTAAAGGTACCATCAAGTATTTCGACGGTTACCATAACACGCCCTCTGGGCAGCCTTTGAAATTGCGCAACGTGGTGTGTTGCCATGAACAGGATGATGGTATTCTATGGAAACATACCAATTTCCGCACTCAAACACCTGTAGTAGTTCGCTCTCGTATTCTCGTTTTACAGACTATCATTACAGTGAACAACTACGAGTACATTCTTGCGTTCCATTTCTATCAAGATGCTTCAATTTTTTACGAAGTTCGTGCTACTGGTATCCTGTCCACTGTTCCCGTCAACATAGACACAAAAACCAAGTTTCCTTATGGCACCATTGTAGCTCCAGGCGTTCTAGCACCATATCACCAGCATCTCTTCAGCCTGCGCATCGACCCAGCTATCGACGGCTATTCTAATTCTGTTGTCGTTGAAGAATCAAACCCCCTTCCTTTGGGCAATCGCTCTGTCCACAACCCATTTGGTGTAGGCTATTGCACTGACAGTCAAATTGTCGAGGAAGAGGGGGGATTTGACCTCGATTTCACCAAAAACCGTACCTTCAAGTTTCTTAACGAGAGCAAGATAAACCCCATAACGGGCACACCGGTTGGATTCAAACTTCTTCCTGCTTACAGTCAAATGCTCCTCTCCCATCCTGAGTCGTACCATGCGAAGCGCTCAGAGTTCGCTAAGCATGCTGTTTGGGTTACTCGCTATGAAGATGGGGATCACTTCCCTGCCGGCCGATATACAATGCAGTCTACCGGCGGGGATGGTATTGCTTCTGCCATTGCTAAGCGAAAAGAATCGAACGCGTCTGGGTCAGTCAGAAACGAGGATGTTGTCATCTGGCACACATTCGGATCCACCCACAACCCTCGAATCGAGGATTGGCCGGTTATGCCAAGTGAGAAACTCATTGTTGGACTCAAACCCGTCAACTTCTTCTCTGGCAATCCAGGCTTGGATGTGGCTCCCTCGGCTCAAGAGAAGAATAATAGTAAGAGTGTTTTGTATACTCGAGATGATTCCAAGGCAACAGCATCGTGTCATAACTCTAACCTCTAGTTATTTTCTTGAAATCATTTCCCAGCTCGAAGATAAACGAAACACACAAAACACAAAAGCTAATACAGAGATAGACTAAAAATCACTGTCATCGTTAGAGTGTATTAAACAGGAATAAATGGTTTTAATGTATTCTCTATTCCATTGAAGAGCAACAACTATGTAGGAAACAATACGTGCAAAGGTTTAAAACATTACGCCAAACATTACGCCAACACGTGCTCTGGTGGCAGGGAAAATCTTCCACCAACAAACAACAGCTAGATGTAGGCACGCAACGCACCACGGGCGCGACACCGAATTGGCTTTGTGAGGGAGTTGCTCTCGATTTAGCTTTACATTAGCGGTAAGCAAGTTGTCGCCAATTCCTGGTTAAATATCTAAATAGGCAGATATGAAAGTCTCGGCAGAGTATCTACTAGCTATTCTATTGTGGCGGACGTAAAGCTTGCGAAAACAGAATTTTCTGCCACCCCATGAAAAATAGTAGCAAAACACCGCAAAAATAACCAAAATATCCACGTATCTCTAGAATCATTCAAATATCATCCAATTCATTCAAATACGCACCTTTATCATCAAATCTGCCAATATGCCCTCCCAGCTCAGCGAATTTACCACCAATGAGATCGTACGCCTTCTAAACGATGGTTATATGCCTGTTCAAATTGCATGGATCATTGAGTGTCATTTGACCACTGTATATCAAATTCAACAAAATATTCACTGCTTTGGAACTGCTAGAAGTTCTTGTTCAATATGAAATATAAAATCCAAAATTACACTGAATATTTTATCAGATTTGAAGAACTTTTTTAAAGTATATTCAACTACATATCATAATGAGATTGTTTACTTTATGAAAAATGAATTTGATGCTGATATTCACTCTCAATTGATATGTAAATTGTTGAAGAAATTGGATTTAATATAGAAAAAAGTGATTAATTATTGCAATTATCATTTATAAAATCTGTTAATCTATCAATTCTATTTGATATAGATTGAATTTATGACCAGTCAATGTGATAAAGAATTTCAAACTGAATAATGTATTTAAATTACTCAGTATCAATTTGATTAATTTATCTTTTTAAATGAAAATGTTGTATGTATGTATGTATGTATAGGTTTAACGTCCCGGAGAAAACACGAGCAGCGCCCGTGTTTCAGAAGCCTCCCTAAGGGCATGGAGACGTGCTACGCTGGAGAGATTTCTATGTACACAGAGAGAGAAAACAGAATCCAGGTGGCAACTCTTGAGAAGACTCAGCTCATTGCAAAGGATTTTTCTGAGCTGCGCATCCACTTCTGGCCCGACGTATGGCCATTCATGGTGGGGCTATAGTGTGGTTTCCTGAGGGGACCGCCGCTGCCGTGCCTGGAAGGCTTTATAGTGAGCAGAGAGGGATACCTCTCTCAGTTGATCAGAAAGCTGTCTGTGCTTCTAACATCAGAAGAAAGACAGACAAGATAAATAATGAAGGAGAGAGCACTGAAGAAGGTTGTGACAGGAAAAGAGCAGAGAATGACAGAGAGAGCAAAGAAAAGAAGGAAGAAGAAGCATTTGAGCCGATAGAGACAAGGGCAAACGAGAGGAAAACAAAGCAGAGCACGCGTAGATACAATGCCGGCAGTCAAAACCATATCAGCTGAGTCAGACACGTAGACTGTACTGATTACACCACAGCTAATTGGGACAGATGAGCCTAGTTGTGCTATCTGTACTGTCTGCATAGACTGTGATGTCCCTGGCAGTTGCACTAGCTACCGTGGGTGTACTCAGCAGGCCGGCCTCGTGGAACTGCTCCGGGGTTGTCAGATGGTTTGCAGCCAGCCGGCTGCGTTACCTTGTGCAGTACCGTGTGTAGAACTGCGTGCAGTCCAGCAGTTCTACAAAGTCTGTAGGGGTCAGAGACCCTAGATAGGCAACAGCTGTCGCCCGGTTGTGTGGCCGTGCTGCTGGCCTCTTGAGCCAGTGAAGAAAGTGCCTCTGTGAGTGTCGACAGAGCACCAAATGTTCTGGGCTCTAGTGTGAACAGTGAATGGTGGAAAATAGTAGATAGCATAATGAATGATAATAACAATAGTAATTGTAATAATAATAACAGTAGTAATTGTAGCTAATCACTAAGAAGAAAAAGAAAGAGAAAAGAAGATGTGTGAAATACATATATTCATATATATATATATATATATATAGAAATAGCAGTAGTGAGAACATAATGGAAAGAGGTAAGAATAAGCAAATATAATAAAATAAGAAAATAATAAATAAGTGCATTACAACTAGTGGCTGTGAATTTTGTATGTATAAACAGCAGCTTTTCATCATTGAATATTTTATGAATTTGAAAGAATTTGATAAATGATGAAATTACTTTTTCTTTAACATCTAATGCTTTTTTTGATGTCAATGTTTGAATTGTTAATTATGAATTCAACATTTCAATGAAAGCTGCAGAACTGCATATTACAAAGATATTTGAGAATAAAATTAAAATATTAAAAAAATTAAAAAAGATGATAATCTCAATGTTAAATTTATTTATCTTCTTTTTATATTATTTTTTCAAAAAAATGATAATCTCTCTTCAATCTGTCTTCTTCTCAAGAATGGTTTTAATTGAAGATTTATATTTGTTTAATGAGATGATTGTTATATAATGTGCAATTTCTATTTTCTTGCAGTTTTACTTCATAACATACTCTTCAACTATTTTTTTTACAGTATATTGAATATAATAAAAGCTGACAATCGTATAATTTATTGTGATATTTCATAATTTAATTTTTATAAGCTTTTTTATTTCATTAATAATCACTCATTCATACAGTTTGAATGAATGAAATCTCAGATTCAGAATAGATGTTCGTGGAAATTGAAAATTTTTTGATTGTGTTTTTTGCTTCTTCTCCTCCTCCTCCTCCTCCCCCTTATTCTCCTTCTCATTATCAGTTGGATTCTTGTCATTATCTGGAACATTCAAAACAGGCAGTTTGAGCAGATGAAGGTGCAGGATAGTTAAAGTTTTTTTACAAGCTTGCAAGACAATAGAACAGTGGGTGTTGTGAGACATATTGATAGATTTGATGATAAAGGTGCGTATTTGAATGAATTGAATGATATTTGAATGATTCTAGAGATACGTGGATATTTTGGTTATTTTTGCGGTGTTTTGCTACTATTTTTCAGGGGGTGGCAGAAAATTCTGTCTTCGCAAGCTTTACGTCCGCCACAATACTTTCGCCCGCAATGCCCGCCCGACGGACATGGTGGCATCAGCTAACAAGGAAACATAGATTTGCCCCCCACAATCACTACAGACAGTGATCCTAAGAATCCCGCATCGAGGTGTTGACCAAAGCGGTTCCCAAGAAAGCCATCCCCGCAACTTTTTGAATTCCCCCCACTTGTTGAAGGTATGTTTTGATAGATAGCTAGGCATGGAAGTCTTGCCCGCTTCCGTACAACCCCTGATTCCAGCCGTATTTCACATAACCTCTACCGCTAGCTAACGCTTTACCATCGAAGTTGTATACAGGAACCCGAGCATGTCCATATTCTGAAATACTCTCCAAGCTCTGTCCTTGACGACACCTTTATCACCATGACAGAAATACTTTCGCGTTTGCTCTCCTTCCCACCCGCGACGCCTACACTGTCCAAAACATCCGACGTAGAGTACGATAAACAGATATGCGTTTTATATTCGGATCTGAAGCGTATACCTGCGCTTAAATTGGTTGCAGACATTCCTGGGAGAGGCAGTTTGTTGGAGGTTCGATATCTCCTTCCCATCGCAACATGTGAAATAACAGCAGAATGAAATAAATCCGAATATTCGGCTGATGAAATTGCTGGTGACAGCTGCTGGACCCGAGCACCCAAACGCTGGCCTACCTTTTTGTCCTACTATCCCATTACCAAGTTTCGCAGGAAAAGACCAAAGAATCATTACCGGCCAAATGGCTGCCAGGGGGTGAAATCTGGCGGAAATCAGTAGCATTATTAGAAGTCTTCGACCCTATTCAAGTCAGATATGCGGGCCAGGAATGGAGGAGTCTTGTTGATATGGTAGCAAAATCGGCCGAAGTCGCATCACGAGTGAGATCCCCAAATCTTGCATTATTGTACAGTTCAACCTTGTTAATAACTTTGAAGCCTTTACTAGCTCTACGTCCTTTAAAACACGCTATACTTCGCCTAGATCCATCATCTTCTACCTTCACATCTCTCCATACAACTTTCGTACGGCTGTGCCTTCAATCAAGGTCTTATCTAAATGCTTTGGATATTCTCGACAAGCCTATTTACCATTTCCCAACAGCCTCTGATAAACAATTTATTAAAAGGTCACAACTTCTTCCGTGTCAGCAGTATGAATCGAGCATGTCCTTTATCACCACTGCATCCGGGTTACCAGGGAAAATAAACCACAGATCTTATTTAGAGTACTTTCTCTATGGCGCCATGGTGTACATGGGGCTGAGAAAATGGGACGCCGCTATCCATTTTCTCGAGGTGGTGATTTCTGCGCCAACAACAAACTCAGTGAGCATTATCATGGTAGAAGCTTATAAAAAGTGGGTTTTACTGGGTCTTTTGGAAACGGGAAAGGTAAATAATTGAGCGAGAGCCAATTTTTTATTCGAACTGCTAACTCGTCCCATAGCCTTTGTCTATGCCAAAAACAGTGACGCCCTTCACAGCGAAAGCATATAGATCACTAGCGAAACCTTACGACGCCCTCGCTGATATCTTTAAATCGGGAAACTTGTCAAGGTTGCAAGCAGAAATCACGGCTGGTGAGCGCATTTGGCTCAATGTAAGTGACACTATACATACCGTTTAAGAGGACATATGACGCGAAAGGATGGCTAACTCTTGCCATGTCACTTGTTGTTTCCACTTTCTCAGGATAATAACATGGGTTTGGTTTCACAAGTATTAGCTGCATATCAGCGATTTTTCTATCGTGAAACTCGAAAAGACTTTCGCCTCATTGTCATTACCCGATAATAACCTTCATACCTGGAGGCCCGGGCGTCCCAATGGACTAGACACTTTCGGTAGCAGGCTTGATTACTGGCA